AGATTCCTCTCTTGATATTAACCTCTCCCAGTCTGTCACCATTGACCAGCAACTGTGTCTTCCATTGTGCCTTTGATCTTCGCACAAAGCTTCTGATGTTTCTACTGATTCCTGTTATTTCTCGGCACTTGACTATCCAGTCATGTGACAGGGGGTCAGATGCCTTCTTGTAATCATTCCAAGCTACGTTCAAGTTGGTCTTCCTTCTCTTAAAGTTTTCCAAAATCATCTTGTGAATTAGGAGCTGATCGTTTGTCCTTCTGTTGTTGTTGTTTACTAAAATGGGATATATGAACAATATCATTGCATGGTTTCACAACCTGGCATAGTTTTAACTATCCTTTGGAAGGGAAACAACCAATAATTCATCTGCATGTAGATAAAGTAAATATCAAGATCTTAAATAAGTTCACTGCTTTTGTTACTGCTTCCTTTGTGGGTCGCTAATGTCAACTTCTTGAGCTACATAGAGGGAACTTACTGTTGTGTATATGATAAAATAATCTAATAATCTGTCCTACACACAGTTGCCAGGTTCCTGCATTTGAAGTGCCATCACATTAATAAAATGGATATGGGAGAATAAATACTTCTGTTTCATAAATACTCCCAGAAATCACAAAGTGAAATCTTGATTGGATCTTTCATGAAGGGGGGGGGCAGTTGAGGATTTGACTGGAGGGACTTTGCTCAACTACGTGTTGTGCGCCAGTTATGCTTTTCCTGGATCAGGAAGCCCTCCAGTCAGTCACTCATGCCCTAGTCATCTCCCATATATTGCAATGTGCTCTACATGAGGTTACCCTTGAAGAGTATACAAAATTTACAGCTGGTTCAAAACGCAGCCACATGGGCAATTTTGGGTGCCCTAAAGATAGCACATGTCACACCTTTGCTGTGCGAGCTACGTTGGGTCCCAGTTTGCTTCCGGGTCCAATTCAAGGTGTTAGTTATCACCTTTAAAGCCCTGCATGGCATGGGACTGGGTTACCGGAGGGACCGTCTCACCCCCATTATATCAACCCGTCCCACCCGGTCAAGCAGAGAGGGTATGCTGTGGACCCCATCAATGAAATAATGTCGACTGGTGGGGCCCAGAAAGAGAGCCTTCTCTGCCGTGGCCACTGTCCTATGGAATACCCTTTCCCCAGAGATGAGGCAGGCTGCTACTCTCTTGACCTTCCGGAAAGCAGTCAAGACCTGGCTCTGCCAACTTGTATGGGGCGAGAAAAGGGGCAACCAACCCTGGGGGTGGCTAGCACCTTGAAGATGCTCCTGTATGTTAATACCTTTTTGATCACCAACACCTTGGAAGATATTATGTATGAATGTATTTGGCTTTATTGTATTTTATACTATTTTTATTGTATTTTAATTAATATTTGTTGTTTTTATTGTAAACTGCCCAGAGTCACTTCTGTGTGAGATGAGCGGTGTCCAAATTTGAAATATAAATAAATAAATAAAATTTAACAGGATATTGTTAAATATTTTAACAGCATTAAAAGGTATTTTTTAAAAGAAGTCTCTCCCTCTCTTATATTATTAGCTCGTATATGGCTCAGCTCCAGTGATAAATCAGAGAAAGTCACAGAGTTTCTTCCATAAGATGTTTCCTAATCCAAATCTACAATATATGGGGATGATCCATTTGTTGCTGTTTTTTGGGTGGAAATGGATTGGGGTGCTTTTTTTAGCAGATGATAATGGAGAGAGTTTTGCACAGAATATCCTTCCAATGTTTTATGACAGTGGTATCTGCTCTGATTTCAAAGAACAATTTCCAAAAGCAACTTTTTCCAGTGATATTGCAAATAATGTGGCTGAATGGTTTGGAACATCCAAGGTTCTCATGAGAAGTACAGCCACAGCTGTGATCATACATGGTGAAATTCACACTATGATTTTTCTGCAAATATTGCTTCATATTTCAGAGTATGAACATGAGGCAGTGAAAACACCAAGGAAAGTCTGGATCTTGACAGCTCAAATGGATTTCACATCTCTCCCTTTTCAAAGAAGCTGGGACATAAACTTCATCCATGGTTCTCTATCTTTTGTGGTCCACTCCAAGGAGGTCTCAGGATTCCAGAAGTTCCTTCAGATGGAAAAGCTGATTTCAGAAAAAGAAGATGGGTTTATCAAGGAGGTCTGGCAAGAAGCATTTGAATGTTCTTTCCATAACTCCATTGTGGATGAAGAGATGCAGAAATCCTGCACTGGAGAGGAGAAGTTGGAGACTCTTCCTAGATCAATGTTTGAAATAAACATTTCTGCCCTCAGCTATTGCATCTACAATAGTGTGCATGCAGTGGCTCATGCTTTAGCATCTCTCCGTTCATCCCATTTGAGGGACAGAAGAGTACAGAATAATGGGAGATGGAAGCCTTTGGCATTCTCAGCATGGCAGGTAAATATCTGGGTTTTCTTCTGGCAGGGAAAAAATGGGTAAATCCTATCCTTCTTTGCCTGCTCTGATTCATCATAAAGTGCATGTTCAATACAACTGGCTTAAAAAAAAACAAACTCATTTTATGCTACTTTTCCAAAACATGCACTTTTTTTTTCTTAATAATGCTAGTAGTGTAGTAATAAGAGTAATAATAATACTGGATGTGGGAATTACAGTCCAGATCCTTTGACATCTGGGAATAGGCTTTTTAATAATAATTCAAATAGATATAAAATATAAGTGTAAAGATATAAAAATAAGATATTAGATATAAAAATAAAATATTAGATATAAAAAATAAGCATAAAGTAATAGAATGTGAAATTAAAGACAAGAAAGAAGAAAAAGTAGAATGAAAAAGTGAGAAAAGGATAAGAAAAGCAAATAGAAACAAGTAAGGAAAAGTACATAAAGAAACAACTCCTGATCTCCTCTACAGCAGTTACAAGCAAACAAATCTTTGCACCTCCGTCTTTAAAATTACATCATATTTTCCTTCTTCCCATTAGTCAGATTTTTTAAATCAGCAAATCCAGAAATCACCAAATCATTTTTTTCTATTCTCAGCGAAAAGTCCATAAAAGGTTTCCAGTCTTTAATAAAAGTGCTTGTTTCTCTTGTCCCTCATCAAACTGGGACATCTGGGCACTAGATTAGATATGACTAACCTAAATCTTCTTGTTCTCAGTCACTTTCCTCTGAATGTGACTTTTTTTTCCTTTTTAATAACTGTATTTTTTTTTAAAAACGACAACAGTAAAAACTAACAAGATCTAATATTAATAAAAGGAAGAAGAAAAGAGAAATAGAAAAAAAGGATAGTAAAGATCAAGAGTGCAAAAAAAAAGAAGAAACAAAAGAAAAAAAATTGACTTCCGACCCTCCTCACAACAGATATAAGTAACAATATACTCTTGCTCTAAATTTACAACATACATTCCATTATTTTTATTAACCCATATTATTTCTAATCATCACATTTATACAATATAATTTCATTTTTTTCTGTTTCCTGCAAAAAGTCCAAAACTCTGAATATGACTTTGAAATTGAATCCAATCAATAATATTAATGTCATTAAAGAAAATAAACTAGGATTTTATTTGTCCTCTATGAAGCTTCAGTTTCAAGATTCAATTCAAAGATGGATGAACCAAAGCCCATTTTTGAAAATCATTTCAGAAATTGAATTGAACTCAATAAAAAAAAAAAAAGCTGAAACGATTAAGACAGTCTGAATCACAAGATGGGTTTGATAATCTAAAACACAGTTTTGAATTGAACCAGAGAAAATTTACTTGTACAGTATATCCTAACCTACCGTTTTTAAAGATCCTATTTTTGTCTTCCTTGAGCTCCACGGCTACCTGAGAAGTGTCTCATTTAACAACAGTGCTGGAGAAGAGATTTCATTTGACCAAAATGGGGAACTAGAAGCTGGATTTGACATCATCAATTGGATCACCTTCCCAAATCAATCCTTTGTTAGAGTCAAACTTGGAGGAATTCAGCCACAGTTGCCTGCAGCCAAAGCATTCACTATTAATGAAGATGCCATTGTTTGGCCCAGGGAGTTTAACCAGGTACAGCCAAATGACATTCAATAAGTGAAATTATAGTATGCTTTTTCCATCTTAGAATGTTTCAAAACATGAATTTGAGTGTATTTATTGAGCTTATTGATGTCTTATAAATAACCCCAATGAGCTGAATGTGCAGAAGACTTAATATCATACTGTTATGAAACCATTTATACATTTGGGTAAATAATTCTGGGAATAATATCTTCAAGCCTTTTGAAGTTTAGACCCATCTGTGGACATAGTGCTGCATAGTGCTCGGTCACTTTCTGATGACCTCTGGAACCTCCTCCAATCAAAATTCCCTGAAATTCAAAGTTTACTTTATTGTCATTTAAAATTGTAGGGCAAACTATAAAATACTTTCAAAAACTAAGGGAAAACTGAACAGTCCTCCTACTTTCAATAAGGAGGAGGAAAAAGCACATAAAACCATAGAAATATTCCCACACATTTTCAAATACCACCTCGGTAATTTCATCCTCACTGAGCCCAAATAATGTTTTGTGCAGTCTTCCATCAAGCAATTCCCAAACCTGATCCATCACCCACCAAGTATGCCCTGGAAACTTTTTTTTTTTTTTTAATATAGGAACAGCAATCTAGTGATTCTTGTGCAGTGAAATAAAACATTCTTCAGTATGCATACTCCTAATATGTTACAATATTATCTGTTTTCAACTGTTGACAGTCACAACCCCTCTCTCTGTGTAATGACAATTGTCATCCAGGATACAGTAAAAGTAAAATCGAAGGGAAGCCCTTTTGCTGCTATGATTGTGTTGCATGCCCAGATGGGAAGATTTCAAAAGGAATTGGTAAGTGACATTCTACATGGCAGCTCTTTTTAATAATAATAATTTAATAATCATATAATTATTGGATTATAGTTTTAACTGTTCTGAGCCACTCAGAGTCACTTAGCTAGAAGTCACTTAGCTTAGACAGAACTAGAAGGAAGTAAATAATACAATTAAAGAATACTCAGATCTGACTTACTAATACAGAAGCAAAATATTTTAACATTAGAAATATTGAAGGATATTTTTGAACAATGGACCCAGAAGTTAATTTTAAGTTTCTGCCTGTATAGATAGACTATGTTTAAAAGAAGTTATGAAAGAGGAGCAAGTTTTAGCTGACAAGATTGAGACTGATCTGAAAGTGGATTTAAAAATGACAGGCTACCAGAATGATATGTAAAATATATTATACTGGACATACAAAAGAAATTGCCTGATGTCTTAATAATTAAAAGGGATATACAAATAACAAACCAAGAGTGACCTGAATAATATTGAATTTTGTGAGAAGGGACAAAGAAAAAATGAAAAGAAATCAAGTTCTAGGACATTATTTGAGGGGACTAAAGAACAAGATTGTTAGAAGTAAAAGAAAAGAATATAAAGTTGGTTTAACAGAAGAGACTATATGTAGCTCAGGGTTGAACTGTGGAGTCCTTGGGGTTCTCTGAGCTTGGTTGTTTTCTTGCAAATGTATTATTACCCAGCTAGGTAACATCTTCAGTGCTAGAATGGAGTGGAGTTTGCTCTCTGTTTATATACAGTGTCTTGCCCTGCCTGTGTTGGTGGGTTTTTTTTCCCCCCCGTTAGTTCCTTGATTAGGGTATTGTTTACTGCTTGATTGTATTTCTGGTGATAATCTTGGTGTTAATCTCTGCTTATCTGGGTGATGATTGCTGGTAAGATGATGTTCTGGTTTTTCATTTCCTTTTTATTGTCTCTTTTGAATAATGTGTAGATGTTGTTTATCTCTATGTGCTTGTTGATGTCTGCCTTGTCTA